TAAGAAAAAACCACAAAATGGGGGGAAAGATATACATCAAACCTCCTTATAGTGGAAAATATCAAAAACAGCTTAAGTATCTAAAGTGTGAATACATAAACATTGGTAAAATTTTTTCCATCCCTTAAGAGCCGTGCTTATAAAGGCTGCAACACTGGGGGAGATCATGCAGTGGGTAGCTGACTGGCAGAGCGAAACAGTGGTGCTGCTGTATCATGCCAGGAGGTGGGCTCAGGAATACTGCCTGCTGGGGCAAAAGTAAATTGGTTCGTATCTCCAGACAAGTACCAAGAGCTTGATTGACACTGATGGTTTTATTTCTAGAAATAGTATATATGAAATGGTAAGGAGCATGGACAAAGATAGACATACAGACATGCAGCAAAGCATTTGTACAGTGGCAAGAATTGGAAAGAACCTAAGTTCAACTGCGAGAATCCTCTCATTTATATGAAGGGATGGAGCAGAATTTAGCGATGTGACTTCATAGTAAGAGCGGAGCTGGGACAGGAAGCTGAAGTCCTCCTGCTCAACGCCTTTTGCTGTTGACGTGGTATTGGAGAAAGTCCTGTTACTCAGCAAGATCTGGTAGTGCTCTGACTATTGAGGTTGCCTAGAAAAGGGGAATCTGCTGTCAGACTGCTCTAGAGCTTAGCTAGACTCACTTCAGGATGCTTCAGGCATAACAATGAGTCTGAGAAGAAAGTCCTGTCTTCACGAAGTGATAATGATCAGTTGCCTTGATACTGACTTGTTGCTGCTCCACACTCTCCCATCTTAGCGTGTCTTGTTAACCATTTATCTGTGTTGTATTCTAATTCAGCAGTATTCAAAATTACTACCACAGGAATTCTAGAAATTAAATATGTATTAATTCTGCTACCAGTCTGAAAATACTAAAGTGATAGTAAAATTTTGTATTGAATGATTTTAAACTTTAAACTGTAAATTACATATGCTTACTGCTTTACCCATGGACGTGTGATGGGTACCATATTGATCACTATTCAATGTGGTTTTTATTTTTAAAATATTACAACTTATGAATTAAGCTGGAGATAATTAATTAAAAATCTCAGTAAGGGATTTACTTAAGATAACCATTCCAAATTAATATCTCTGATAGAGAGTTTACTCTCTTCATCCACATTTGACAATTAGGAGAGAACACTAATGTTTAACTTGTCTGGCAACAGGAAAAAAACAACAAAGGGAGATACCCTCTTTAGGAAAAGCAAAACATCACTGCCAGCATTTGCATGAAACCAAAGTTTCTTCTAAATTTATTTCTACAAAGAAGATAGAGATTTTGAATCTTTCACAGAAGAATTCCTACATTAAAAGTTTGACAGTGGATTTTATAAAATATTTGACATGCCAGGTCCCTCGGTACTGTGAAGAGATGTGTTTGAAATGAGAGAACATCCTTGCACTTAGCATCTTCACCACCTGATTGCTCTGTGGCTGATCCCAGCACACAGTGCTTTCTCTTTGGTAAGTGTTCACGTGTTTGTTGAGCTAAGTCTGCATCGAGAAGAAACCCAGGCAAATGATTAAGTGCCCAATAATAGATAAAACAAGGCATTTTGCATTAATTTGCAAGGAACTGCACAATATCTTTATTATATCTCTTAAGTAAATATTTAGTTACTGATAGGAAAAGCTTGAATAATGTGGGGATATATATTTAGAAAATGTAGTTGACAGAGAGATATTAGAAATATGTACGTGTGAATGACTAGTTAAATACTTCGTAGGTTAAAAAGTTCACCCTCAGTGTATTGATAATGTTCTCAGATCTCAGTCTTTCTGGTCCATTTGGAAAAATCTTTGGAAATGGGAAGTTGAATGAAAGATGTCTGAATTTTCTCTCTCTGCTGAAGAGCTTTCTGATCAAGGGGAAATGATGGTTGGCATTTGGGACTAGTTCCTGGAGATCAAGAGACAGGCATCACGTTCTGGTTCTCACTGAAACCTTTTATAAGCGAGCTGGACGCCATACTGAGCTCTCTGTGCGGTTTTCTTGGCTTGTCACCTGTCAGTCATGTTTAAAGTCAGGTCACATTCACTGGGGACGAGGTTTCTGAACAGAGGCAACTTCCTAGTGTCTGTTGTGTAACTCAGTTCCCTTGGAGGGAGGGAACAATACATTTTGGGGAGGAGAAGAAAAGGAAGTAGATAATAATTGGAGGAATGAGCTGAAGGAAAGAGGTCACAGGCCTAGTGGTGGGAGTGCAGACGGCGGGTGTTCCCTCTTCTGGTTTTCGTCTTACCAAGAGAGCACACGTCTGACGTGCTGGCAGAGCACATAGCCAGGTTTATGCCGTGGCCCGAGGGATGGGGGTTCGAAGTATGATTCTACCTAGGGTTAGGGGGATGGGCCATGGGGAGAAGGCAGTTAAAGTGGTCCCTTGGCTGCCTCTGGGTCCTTGTGTACAGAGGTATCTGGAAGGTTATCATGTTATATGGTTGTTGAATAAAGCCAGTGACCTGAAGTCAGTGCTGCCTTTAGGAACTCCACATGTGTAATTGAAGATCAATTGCTCCGCAAAGACGTTCTGTTTGTCAAAGAGAGCAGTGTCTCTCTCGTGTGGCTCTTGTGTTTTATTTTATTTGACATAAGATTATGTCCTGTTCCTTTAGGTAGACTTAAATTTCACAGAAGTTTCGATTTTATAAAACCTATTTTTCTCCCTAGTTGAAATATCCTAAGAGTTTGTTCTTTAATTGTATATGAAAATAATTACTCATGATTCATAGTTGTATTGGATGTTCACTGTTTGCCAAAACTGTAGGTATGTTTTCTCCATATTCTAGAGCTTAGAATGGATACCATTTTAACAATTGACAACCTAAAACAGCATTTTCCTCTCACGTGACTTGGCTTTTTGGAGGGCAGTTTGCACGTTATCCAGAGTGTTGTTTTAACCTTGTGGTTATTTCTGTGTTTGTACACATATGAGGAGGCTTGGGTTCGGAGGACACCAACTCACTGTGTATGCTGCTTCTAAATAGTAGATCTAGAATGTTCTGAGGGAGGTGTCCATTAACCTCATAATTATTGGGGACATCATTTATCTGTGCTGTTTCCTTTGCCTCAATCCCTTGCTTCCTTTGGCTGACTTAATTGAGAGTAGGCTATGCTATTATCCACGCCAGAAACTGTATTAAAAAAAAATTCTCCTGAAATTACGAATGCTGTAATACAGAAATGACAAGTGAAGTAAACAGGTGAATTGAATGATCTCGCCAAAGTCACCAGTGACTCAAATGGGTGGAGGAGGAATTTATGACATTGTTCCTTTAGTAAGGAACAACTGATGTCAGACTTCCGTGACATTTTATTAAGTTGCTCCAGCCCAGCTTGGTGTCTGACTTTCTGTCACAGAAAGATGACATTTTAAGGTCCAAGTTCCTATAGGGAAGTCGCAGCCAAGCTAGTGGTCAACAGCTGCTACGAATTATGTTTCTGCTAAGTAATGTTTCGGTTATTAGTTCTATGCGTTGCAAGAGTGCCGCCGATAGTGGAATTCAAGGAACACTTGCTTAATAGAGAACAACAGAAGAATGAAATTAAAACTGCCATTTCTTAAAAATCTTCTCTTCTAGCTCCTCAGATAGTGGTGAAAGAAAAATATTGTGGCCGTGAAGGGAGAAAGCCTGCCTTCCTACGTGGTTTCCAGTGGCACAAAAAAGAAATTAGGACTCAGAAGAGGAGTAGTTCTAGGAAATGCATGCAGTCAAGGAGCGGTTTTATCATCTACATCAAGTTGTCTAGAGATCTTTGTGTGAAGAAACTATGAAAACAGAAAAACATCTTTTGTTCACCAGGCTAAATCTTCATAAGCCACTGTTTTGTAATTTTGAATCCTGTTGAACAACATTCTGAAGGATATTAAATTGAGACTTTTGTCTTTTTTTATTTTTAGCACACTCAAGTGTATATATAAATCTCTGGAATGTTGAAGGAGTGACATTCCACAAGTGTCAGATTTTTTTTTTCTGTTGCCCATTGTGAAGAGACCAGTGAATTAAGAATGTTTGACTCTTTCTCCAATATTTTCTTTCCTTTTGGAGCTCTGTTACAGGGTAAAGAATTGTTTTTTGTGGAAACATTATTGAATAGGAAAATTCATGTTTCAAATTGTTGTTTTCTGGCAGTGATTAATGATTAATTAGCCAGACTAGAATTGATAGCATTAAATTTCTGCGTGGCTTGGCGCTGTTATCAGTGCACGGCAACAGCAGCAAAAAAAAATAGAATTCACAATAATCTAGGATCTAGAACCAAAAATTGTACTCTGAGTTGCAAGTGTCAAAGCTGGGTTCTAAAAGTGTTTAAGAGTCTAGAGATTTACAGATATCTTTGTAGATTCTGTAATAGCAGCATAAATTTGTTCAATGTTGGATTTTGAGGTAACTGTTAGCCTATTTTGGGGAGTTCTGGTACATTTAATTTTTACTGAGGCATTCTGCGGTGATAACAAAGCAATCAGTCATAGACTTGAATGAGTACCAATGGGAACTAGTTGCTCATTTGGATGAGTTCCACTGCATGCCTTTAATCTGGCAAAAAATAGGGTTTGAAGCTGCCTTTAAAACATAGATCAATTTGAGGGAAAAAAAATCAATGAAAATGATTAATAGAAAAAAATATTCTTTGGTCCTAGGGATCTAAATTTTAATGAAAGAGATTCTAAAACTGACTGTTGAAACAGAGTCAAATATTACCTTTCCTTAACAAATGTGGAACTATTTTTAAAGACATAGCTTTGAATGTAAAATTGCATCTATATGTTCCAAGAGGTCCATTCACCATTGTTCCCAGTGCTGTTCTCTGTTTCTTGACTTATTTTCTTGGTGGTTTGCTTTTTGTTGGGCTCTTGGACCTGAAACGAATATTGGGGATGGATTAGTGACATTTGTGATTTTTGAGGATGTTAAAAAGAACACTAAGATTGGCCTTCTTATAACCGCATGTGTTATTTATTTACTTTCAGTTTGATTAATAAGCTTAAACCTGGTGTCATTAAGAAGATCAATAGACTGTCCACACCGATAGCAGGCTTGGTAAGTAATAAATTACCTTCAAAACTAGATTTCTCCGTTTCTGAAGTGTCAAAAGCTTCTTTCATCTGGAATTATCATAGAAATTAGGTCTTTTGTTCAAGCAAAGTGTGTTTGGTGATCCCCTCCTTATACCTGTAGTTCCTGGAGGCTTTATTCTGTTTATTTTTCTGTTTGTTTTGCTTTTTGTGCCCTCAGACTTCATATATCTGCTTTCTTGGCCTATTTCTTCCACAAATTGCGTTTATTTAGGATCCTATTCTCTCTGAAGCGCGGCCCTACACACACTGCTTGCTAGTTGACCACAGTTTAGGGAAACTGTCCAATGTTCATGAGATGTTATGTTTCAGTTGCTTCATGCTTCTACGTTCCCCTCACTCAGCATGCAGACCTTGGAGTGTATTTACAACATACTTAAGACCTGTCAGCTCTTCTGGTTTCCTACCAACATCCTGTGTGATGTTGGGCAAGTCACTGTCTTCCTCTTTACCTCAGTAATATTATCCATATGATGGTTGTGGGGGATTCTCCAGATTCCTTCTGACTTTAAATTCAAAATTGTGTGTGTGAAAAATACCCTACACTTTCATTATATAGATACTCTGGTGGGTCAAGACCTTTGAGAGACCAATAATAAGGTGGGACTATGTGTTTGGAAATAAGTAATTTATAATTAAGTACAAATGATAGATATTTTTCCAAATGTTAGCAATCCCTAAGGATCAAGGTTGATGATAGGGGTCAGTTAAAAAATTAATTTTCCAAAACACTCAAGTTTGAGACAGTTATTAACTGGGATGTAAATAAAATGTATGTTATCCTTGAGATAGTCAAGCTGCTTATAATACATTCGGGAACCTGATTAAAAGTAGCAGTACTAAAATTTCTGGGTTTGCAGCTGACATGAAGATCTTATCAAAATTTTGACAGGAATAAGTTGGTTGCAGAGTGTTTACTATTAGAAATATCTGTGTAGGAGAGAAGAAGAGAATTTTTACAGTTTTTTCCTTTTATTTTTCTTTAAAAGCTCAGAAAATTACAATTTTCTTTTGAAATATAGAATGCAGTTGACTCTTAAACAGTATGAGGGTTAGGATTGCTGACCCCCCCATGCAGCTGAAAATCTCTGTATAACTTTTGAGTCCCCCAAAACTTAGCTGCTAACAGCATACTGTTGACCAGAAACCTTACTGATAACATAAATATTTGATTAACACATTTTGTATGTTATATGTATTATGTACTATATTCTTACAATAAAGTAAGTTAGAAGAAAATGTTAAGACAATCATAAGGATGAAAAATTACACTTACAGTATGGTACTGTATTTATCAATACCATGAGTTTACATCATCTGTTTACAAGATGAATCATCTGTCAGTACCTACACCGATATTGTCTTATATGATACAAAATAGTATAGATGTTACACATATTACTAACACTGGACATCGAAATGAACAAAATAATGTGAAGAAGAAATTCATATTGGTTTAGAGGTATAACGATTCATTCTTTTTTTAAAGTTTTAAAATTAAATTAAATTAAATTAATTTTTTTGGTGTAATTAATTTTATTTATACAATTCATTCTTTGATAACAAAGAAACAGCAATATGATTGCTTCACGGTAGCTGAGCGTGTATGCTAATGAATGAATCATTATACGATTTTTATGGCATACAGTGTTACAGCTGTAATCATAATACAGTATTAGAAACGTTGTTACATTAAAAATACACTTACCTGTGTTGACAGGCTGATATGCAGTTTCTTCAGCGAATGGGGCACAGTGTACTTGAAAACAAAGTTATAAAACACAGTAAGAAAACTAATACGTTATTAATTTATATTAAATATCACTTACCTTATACCTATCTTAGGACAGTATCTACATATATTTTATGCATTCCTGATATACCTAACTTGTTCTTAATTTTTTTGAAATTTCTAGGCTACATAGTTTGTGAGTTTTTTCAAATTGTCAAAAATCTCCAAAATTTTTTCCAATATATTTCTTGAAAAAAAATCCATGTATAAGTGGGCCTGTGCAGTTTAAACCTATGTTGTTCAAGGGTCAACAGAGCACTTGGACTCAATGTTAATTCCTTCCATTCTTATCCTGTTGCTTCTATTTCTATTATGAGTAAGCAGCTGACGTGATATTTTTATTGGTCTCAAATTTGGTTTGATTAAAAATCTTTCATATATATTCATATATTACAATATACATATATGTGTGATTTATTTCTAGTGATATATAACAAGTTAGAGGTGTTATTTAAGCAGTAAAATTGAAGAAGTTTGGTTTCTGAAGTCTCTCTAGGAAGAAACATTCAGTTTAATGAAGTAAAAAAGTTTTATATGAAAATAACTTTTATGAAGTAATTTCTGTGAGAATTAAAAGTTTGAATTGTATTGAAAGTACTTTCTGTCTTTTCAAATGGCTTGAGTTATTCTCAGATAGTTTAATGCTTAGATTTTAAATTGTCGTTTCTTGGATCAATTACATGCATTTAAAATAAAACTAGCCTTTGATTCCAAACACTCTGCATATTTGGAACACTTAAATTGTGCTGGTTTATTGTTGTTGGCCACAAGAGGTTTTATTTAATCTTCTGATTCTACGATTAGATGAAAGCACAAATGTATTTTATATTTAAGTCCAAAGGTCTCTCCAAGTATTTCTATTTCAAGCATCAGAAATTCTATCTAGTTTGGACTTTATCCCTAGAAACTAAAATGAAATGTATTTCTGGTATATTAAATAGGATAATTTCCCAAATACGGGACATTGAGCATTTTCAGTTGGGCGTAGGATCAGGATGGTGACCAGAGCCACAGACCTGGACCTGGGCTGAGCAGTCAGGTCAGAAGTCATTATCATGCCTCATGGTAACTTCATCTGACTTCTTCTTCTCATGTTTATGTATCAGGATGGTTTTTATATCAAAACTTCTTAAAGCCTCAGTTTCAAGTATAGATTAGAGTTTCTGCATCTACCTAGTAGGGTTGTTATGAGGATGGAAAGGAATGATATGTAGATAGTCTGACATACAGATGTTCAGTGAATATTCTTTTGTATCACATGTATTCTTTTAACAAATGATTCTATTAACAAATAATTTTTCTGATTTATAGGGATCTATTGGAGGAGAAAAGACAGATATAAATAAGGACCTTATTGTCAACGACTTTATGTTCTAGTAGGGGAGTGGGGATTGGGCAGATAAATTAACAAATGAGCAAGAAAGTACCAGATAATAAACATGCTGCAGAGAATTACAGTAGACTGACGTTTGTTGAGCACCCATGAGCAGCCGTCGTAGGACTGTGAAGATTGACCTCTAAGAAGTCCTCAAAAGCCATGTGCCGGAAGCTTTAGTTTTTAACATTTATAGAAAAAGATATAAAACTTGAGCCAGGCTCTGCATACTAGTAATTTCTGTGTTGACAGCACCTAACATAGTGACTGGAACATATAGGAGATCAACAATTTTTTTTGAATGAATGAACAGGATTTCCATTGTGAAAATATTAGGCTTAGAATTAGGCCTTTGATAGGTTATAGGTTAAGTTGTGTGTCCCCCCCCCCGAAAAAAATATACAAGCAGACCTTGTTTTATTGTGCTTAGCTTTACTGCACTTTGCAGATACTGCACTTTTTAACAAATTGAAGGTTTGTGGCAACCCTGTGTCGAGTAAGTTTTATCAGTGCCATTTTTTTCTAACAGCCGTTGCTCACTCCATGTGTCTGCATCATATTTGGGTAGTTCTCTTAGTATTTCATACCTTTTCATTATTATTTTCTCTGTTCTGGTGATCTGTGATCAGAGATCTTTGATGTTACTGCTGTGACTCTCTGAAGGCTCGGATGATGGCTAGTTAGCATGTTTCAGCAATAAGGTATTTGTTAATTAAGGCATGCATGTTGTTTTTATTAGACATAATGTTATCGCACACTTAATAGACTCTAGCATAGTGTAAACATAACTTTTATATGCACTGGGAAACAAAAAAGTTTGTGTGACTTGCTTTATTGTGATGCTTGCTTTATTGTGGTGGTCTGGAGATCAACTCACAGTATCTCTGAGGTCTGCCTGTATATTGAAGTCCTAAACTGCAGTGCCGCAGAATGTGACCTTTTGGGAATAGGGTTGTCATATGGAGTATGGGAACAGAAGTCATAATTGAGTAGAGTAGGCAACCTAATCTAATCTAATTGGTGTCCTTATATGAAGACGGCCATATGAAGGCAGATACACACAGGAAGAAAGCCATGTGATGACTGAGGGTTGGAGTGGGGCACATACAAGCCAAGGAACACCACAGATTGCCAGCAAAGCACCAGGGGCCGAAAGAGGCAGGGCAGGGTTCTTTTACAGGTTTCATGGGAGCATGGCCTTGTGGACACCTTGATTTTGGGCTTCTAGTCTCCAGAACTGTGGGACAATAAGCCACTTGGTTTGTGGTACTTTGTTATGGCAGTCCTGGGAAACACATACAGATACGTAAATGTTTTAGTTAATACTTGCTTTTTAAAAGACTTTTAATTTTGAAATATAGATTCACAGGAAGTTGCAAGAAAACAGTACAAGGAGGTCCTCTGGGCATTTCACTCAGGTTCCCCCATGGTAACATCTTGCATAACCCCGTTCAATATTAAAACCAGGAATTCACACTGGTACATTCAAAGATTTTAATCAGATTTACCCATTTTGCATGCAGTTAATACTTTTTTAGTAGCAAAGAGCAAAGATGCTTTCGAGCTAATGAGATGAAGAGTGTTTTATTGTAAGGATTTTCCTGAGGACTCTCATTAACCTAGTGCTCAGGCATAAACGTGGCAGATGAATTCCTCACAATTACTTTTTCCTGCCTCATTTCTAGCAAGAAATGGCATCCCTTAATTGAGTTTCCTAACAGAGGAATCCGAATGGATCAGATTACCTTTTCTTTCCAGGCAACAGATACCACAGGTCAGCTGCCAGCTGGGAGATGAG